CCTTTGAAACGTGTCTCAAGGGGGAAAAACGAAACCCACACTATTTTTCGCCGGGCGACCTTGCCGACAAGTTTCTGTAGCAAAAGCATGTCTTCCAAGGGGGGGGGGAGGGAAAGGAAGAGACTAAAACCTCCCTCTGCTCTGAACAAAGGAAAGTTTCAACCAGCAGCTCCCCCAGATTTGCAAGCCAAGATCCTCATCCCTCGGCCCAGTGGCCCCGCGGGGACCCCACTTTTCTCCGCCGAGCTTTTCCCTTTCTAATTATTAATAAACACTTGGCCTTTGCAATAAAAGAACAAAGATGGCGCATAATACTGGCACCAGGAGCACTTGCATACGTGTCCACGGATATTAATTTAAAATAAAATCCCCATCAAATGCATGGCCACTTTGAGGGGCCATCGAAGAACCCGGGGGCGATATTCTGGGTTCGCGGGCTCTAAGGATACCGCCTTGGGAATCCATAGACCTACAAGAGGGGTGTGTACGTTGGGGGAGGGCGACTTCGGAAACTTCCAAAACTTCCTTGGGCACCCCTTTTTCCCCCGGATTCCTGTTACAGGGGTTCCCAAGCTCTGAATCTGGCTGACAGGGCGTGCGATCGGCATTCCGCGATCTCTCGCCCGAGACCACGCAGCCCAAGAGGACAAGCCCGACCGCTGGGAGGGGACGACCGAGTCCACTCCGCAAGATGTTTTAGGGTGCAGGAAGCGGGGCTCGGGGTTTAAAAGAGAGGAAGGAAGGACGCCTAGGCACACAAGGGTCGCTTTATTTCTAGAAAGCCCGAAACTTTTGCGAAGCGCGTTTACCTCCAACATCCAAGTTGCCACTATTTTCCTCATATATGGTAAGATCTCCTTTTGCACGCACTTGAAGTAGGAGACGGAGGGCGAACAAGTCTCCTCCGCTTTCAGCATAGTCTGCAAGACCCTGTCATTGAGGAGGTTGGCATCTTGGTAGGCTCTCCGGATGGTCTCGACTTCACAGCAGAGCAGCTGATGTTCCATGTCTTCTGCCGCCGCCGCCTCCGCCTCCACCAACGCCGCCGCCGTTCTTCTTCTTCCTCTTCCTCTTCTTCTTCTGCGGGCTCCAAGGGCTGGCTGAGTCAGTGAGTTCTGGCGCTCCCCCCGAGTCCCTCAGATGCTGCTCGCTGCTGTGGCTGCTGCCGTTGCTGCTGCTGCTGCTGCTACTGCTACAGCCCTCTGGAGGCTGCAAAACTTTCTAACTTCCAACAAAACTCTCCTGTATGAGTCCCCGTGTGACGTTACTGTTGTTAAGCAGAGATCAAAGCGCGAAGAGAGAATGCGAAAGAGAGGGGGGAAAGGAGCGAAGCCAAAAGCAGGGGGCCGAGCCGTAAAGCCATCCCATAGGCTTCAAGTCCTTCCCCTTTGCTTAGCTGAACAGACGCAGGGCTAAATTTTAATGCAAATGCAAATGAGGACAAGGGCTCGCTTTCTTTTCTTTTCGCTCTCTCTCTCTCTCTCTCTCTCTCTCTCTCTTTTTTTTAGGGGGAAGGAGCGAAGTTGTGGGGGAAGCCCAAATGGTCTCCCCCCCCTCCCCGATCAGGCAGAACTTCTTAAAAATGGAGAGGGCTCCGCGAGGCGAATGATGAATGAGGCTAGGCCACACACAGGCATGTTGGGGCAGAATATGGGCTGGAAGACGGGCTCCGGGTGCTTTTTTTTCCCCAAGAAAAGGCACACCGTCGCCCCGGTTTAGCCAGAGCACCAGGATCTAGATAGCTAAATGCTGATTTTTCATTCTCCCCTCTTTTTTTTAAAATTAGAACCCCGCCATTTTCAGGAAAGGGTTCGGAATGAAAGGGCGGTAGTTGTCAAAAGCCCCCCCCCCGATTAAAGACTTCTAGTGATCCAAAATATACGCTTAACACCCAGTCCTTCACTCTCTGCTTGCTATCTTTTAATGTTGAAAGCGACCACCCTGTTCTTTACGGGCGACCCTCCGTGGTGTCGGGGACCGAGTTTGCACAAGACTGGGCTCCAGCTTCGGGATGTCACACCACTGTATGCCACTCGCAAGAGGGCATCTCGTCCGCGGTGGCCAGAAGCAGCATTATGGACACAGGAAAGGCACTGGCTTGGTGAGAGAGAAGAATGGGGGGGGGGTCATTCTCACACCCCAAATACTACCCAGTGAAAATCCAAGCGTGTTTAAGCAAGATGGTGGCTACTGTTTTTTCCAGGGTACGGAGTTGAACACGAGAGAGGAAGATGAAGTGCAGTCATTTTGCCTCTGGATTGAAGTCCCAGGCAAAAACCGAAGGAAAAGTTCTTTCATTCATTTCAATAGGACAGTTTGGTTTTACTTCTACCATGAATTATACAGGCGGATGCATTCCGCAAACATTTTTTAGAAAGCACGTGGCAAGTGGGTTCGCAAGCCGGTGGTGGAGCAAGCTTCAGCTCTTTGCATTTAAAATGTTCATGTCCCCGGGTTTCAAACACGCAAATTAATAAAATTGTATCCTCTCTCATCTATTACCTTCGGGGAATAAAAGGCTTGCAATAATCCCTGGGAGTGGGAATTCTGAGTAATCAGTTAAAAGTCCCAAACATGCCATGCTTAATATTGCCATTAGCAAAACCGCCTTAAAGACCCTGGATTATCCAGTATTTATTTGAAATTACAAATCTTCAACCTCCAAATGTAATTCATACTTCGAAGATTGGGTTCCTGCTGCCCTTCTTTGTGTATTACCTTTGCCCGCGTGGTGCCTTATTTTCCTCATGTCTGCTTCTACACCAAGTCTCAATGAGGTTTAATCCGAAATAAAAGGGCACAAATATAGTTCTCAGGTAAGGCTCTTTATGACTTTGAGATAAATTCTTAGGGTAGATTCGGATCCTATGTTACTCAGCAATAAGTTCCACTTTGTGTTGGAGCTTTCTCCCTCGCAAGAACACAGGACTTAGCCTGACCTTCCTTAAGCTGTTTGTGCGCATGTATGCCTTTAGATCTATGTCTATAGGTTATTTTCTGTGCACTTTTGTTTCAGCATTCTAAGGGAAGCGCAGCCTCGCCTTTAGAAATGTTAAATAAACGTCCCGCAAATGCTAGACGCCTTGACATATAAACATAAAGGGTATCTCTGCATAATTCCTGACCTCTGTCCCTCCCCATTAAAGGAAGCTACCTCTGCTCTCGATCCAAGCGTTTGCGTCTCCAACTTTTATTTCTTAAATTTTCTTTTAGTAAATAATAGTCAGTCAATAACCAGCTACGTGCACTTTCCCTCTCCCAAACAATATTTGCTTTGCAAAATCGGCTCCCTTTCCAGTGCTTTTTTTTTTTTTTTGAAAAGGGAACACGGTGAGAGCAATGTTGCTTCTTCATTCATAAAAATGTGCATCGGTGGGGCAGGAAACCTGGATTTATGAGACGGAGTGGTATCAGCTACAGCTTTTCCGGAGCCCCCCCTCATACCATCGCCCTCCAGCTGAGACGCCTACCCAGAAAGATCGCCTTCTGCTGCGTGTGGCAATATTGCAGGGGCGAGATCGCCCACTTACAACAAAATTGGCTCTAATTCCTGGAGGGAACTCCCCCCCCTCCCCAACTGGGCTCCAATACAAGAGGAAACTGGAATTAGCATAAACCAATAGGGGAATAGATCTGTTACCAGGCGGATCAGGCAGATCTGAACTAGGAACTTGTTTGATTTCTCTCTGACAAGACGAAAGGGATTTAGTCAAAAGTGCCAGAATTACCGAAAAGCGTGAAAGCAAAGATAGAAAACTTCGCTGAAACTCTCATTCCACGGCTGAATTGGTATTTTTCTCCTATTCTTTGTTAAAAGATTAAAAGAGAAACATGGGTCGAGACAGAGTTTTTATTTAACTGAGCCACATTTGCCATGCTTTTTTGTAAATGGTACCAAGATCTGTCTAGGTGCAGGTTTAAAGTTCGATCAGGACCAAAGTGGAACATTTGGGTTCTTAGTCCATTGCGTGATGCGTCGGTCACTTATATTTCTGCATCTATTCCAGAAATTTACCAATTCACATTGCGTGATGCGTCGGTCACTTATATTTCTGCATCTATTCCAGAAATTTACCAATTCAGATTGTCCCTTAACTCTCATGTAGAAAATCGTCGTGGGAGCGTTCCGAAATAGGGTTTCTTTGCTATCTTTCCTCGCTCCCCCGATTTTTTTGGGGGGGGAGTATTTTTTCTATTTCGGGAGAAAGAGCAACCAGCATATTACATTTCCCAATGCTGAATCCAGTGATCTCTGCTACTTGAAGGCATGCACTTTTGCCTCGATCCCCAGCAATGGGAACCAGCCTTCTTTTGTTTGTAAGAATGCCACACAGTAAATTAAACAAACCACTTCCCACATGTGTAGATGGAATCTCACCTTGAGCTAGATACCTGATGGACAACTTTAAAGGCGTTCTCCCCCTACTTTCCTCTCCCACCCTCGCCCCTGTTCAATGTTTGCCATTGTTAAATCTTTCCATAAAAAGTCTGCAGCTCCTTCGGAGCTCACGTTCGGTTTTACCTGGGGCACCTAAAGCACGCACACAGTTCATTTTTCATCCCCGATTTAAAACACGCACACGGATCTCGGAGGTAAATTATGATTTTAGCGTCTCTTCTCAGTCCGATCGACATTTTTAACATTGCCTACCTCGTGACCACGACCACGGCTGGGGGAAAAAAGAGCTTTTCCGTTCTGTCAATACTGTACCCGACCCCCTCAATAAATTAGCCGCAGACGGGGGAGGGGGTGAATTTCAGACTTAAAACTACAAAAGGGTAGAGATCCCGCCTCGGAGGGCGAAAACTGGAGAGTTCGAGAGAATTTACTTGGATACTAATTCGCCGGGATTTGGGGCGATCCTCCCTGCCATTCCACCTTCCAGCAGGCTAAATGTAGGGTTTGCTTGCTTGCTTTGTTTCCTTGAGAAGCTACTTTGCAAACTTTACTGGAAAGTAAGCGCCTGTACTTAGGGGCTTGCTTCTACCGGTGAACTTACTTAGGCGAGTTCATTAGCCAAGAGGCATCAAACTGCAAAAGGAGTATAATTAATCTAGATCCACAAGACATGGGTCGGGGAACCTTGTACCCCCTCCCAACAAGTAAAGAAGTAGACACGTATTTAGAAACAGCAATGGTTGGTTAGACCTCGTCTATCGATGTAGCACATCGGCTGCCTTGTACCTTGATCGGGCTACAGGCGGTGTATATATTCCTGAGGTTGCCTACCACACCGCGGCGCGCGCATTTCCTCCCAGCCTTCAGCGTTTCAAAGCATCGTGCGCCTAGCTAACTGAGTTTCTCTCGGTCCCTGTCTCCAACCAAGTATTTAACGCGTGAAATCTTAATTTTTTTCGCTTCTTTTCTCTCTCTCTTTCTCCCCTCCCCCGCTTCGTGAGCGTGCGTGCATGGCCTCCCCGTTTCCCCTCTCCCTGTGAGAAATTCGATATTCGATCTGCTTCCCCTATCTTTGCGTGGATTGGATAATGGCAACATCAGGAAGTTGGAACTTCGGCGTGAAGAAGAATCTTGCAGGCAGTTTCTCATGATGTAATCAGCATTCCACCCCCTCCCCCGCGCGCCTCGCTTTCTACAAAGTATATATGCAATGCAACCCCTTGGAAATAGGGAGGGGGCGTCAGAAACTTGAAGTTATCTGTTGCTGTGCTGGAGAGGTGTGGTTAAGACGAGTTAGATCTTTTCTCTCCCAGCCTCCTGGTCTCGAGAAAGGAAGCAATAATCGTCATGGGATTATGCATTCTTACTTAAAAAGCAAAATCGCAAAGGCTCCCCCTTACGTAAGGGCCATTGACTACATTGTATTTGAATAAAAGAGGGAGATCAAAATGCAACTGGATAATGCAAATTATGATTTTTTTCGGGACCTGAGCACTTTCAATAAATTCCCAGACTCTTGAAACGCTAGGAAGGGGTAGGGCGAGGGAAAATGTTAACCTAGTTCTAAATGTGTTTTGAGATTTTAAGAGATGATAGCCTTTTGTTTGCTTCTTTTGTGTGTGTGTGTGTGTTTTAAAAGGGGGGGGGGAATTGAATGGCATCTGTATTTTAATGAGAAAAGACGCTGTTCATTTAATTCTCTTGGTCTCCTTATTTTCCCACGCCAAATTCCTGGGGGAGGGGAAAGAGAGGGCACTTTAAAAGTAAATGCCAATGCTAGGTGAGCAGGGATTGTAGGGATTGTATCAAAATCGAGACTGGGAAAAATCTAGAATGATATCGTTTTAATTGAGGCTTCTGCCCTCTGATAATTAAATGGAAGCGCGGTGAATTCCTATCATTTTTGCCTGTGCCTAAGTTAACAAGCCCACATGGTTTCTCTTATCACCATCACTAACCGTAATGTTTCTAAGAGGCGAGCCTACAAGAACAGAGAAAGACAGACCTCAGATGGTTACTGTTTTCATCGTTGGATCTGGTTTTTGTGAAGCTTCCTGCTTCCTACGTGGCTTCCCCCAAACAAAACAAAAGGCAGGGCATGAGATTTCATTTATTTTTAAAATATTGTTTTAGGAACTGGGTTGGGAACAAATTCATAGGTGCAGAGACATGAAAGAGGAAAAAAAAATCCTTGTGCTCTGATTAAAAAAAAAATCTGGGCTTTGTGTCCTTCCTATTTTAAATCAATCTATTACTTAGTAGAAATAGGACTGGAATTGTTTGAACACAGAGGCCTGGCTTCAGAGTAAATATGCTCATGACTGCTCTTTGCTTCTGTAACGAAGTTGTTAATGATGCAGAATAGGAAGTGGGCGAATTATTGTTATTGTCAGAATACAAATAGGAATTAGGGCAAATGTCAGCAGTTTAGAAATCTCACATAGTTCTTGGCTTGCTGCTGAGGTATTTTCTGTCATTGTTTTTCTGAAACAAATGGTGTCCACTTTCAGTTTGTTCATTTCTAAGGGCTCTTTCTCCACAGCCATATTAACGTGTAGTCCGTCCTACTTCAATCAGGAGTCTTCTGTGTTTGTAAACTGTACCCACAGCCAACAAGGTGCTGCCCTCACAGAACATATCAGGGTTTGCTTTCAGGGTCCACACTGCTGAATTTTCAACTACCCTTTCTCTTATCAGTGAGAAAACTGTACAGCTAGCTGTCCCAAAGGTGCTTTTCCAAAAGGCAACTGGACCTGTGGAACAGCTTGCCTTCAGACATGGGTGCTTCATTACTGGAGGTTTTTAAGAAGAGACTGGACAGCCATCTGCCTGAAATGATATAGGGACTCCTGCTTGAGCAGGGGGCTGGACTAGAAGACCTCCAAGGTCTCTTCCAGCTCTATTCTGATTACATTACTTTCTTGGTTTTTTTCTTTGAAAACATTTAAGCTACAAAATCCAGTTGCCTTTTGGAAAAGCACCTTTGGGACAACCATGACCTGGATAATTGAGAATCTCCATAGGCCAACAGCTAACTGCTTTTGTGAATGTATCATTGGATTGGGGTCTGGAATTGTCATTACAGGTAGTCCTCAACTGAGTCCAAAATTTCTGTTATTAAGCAAGACATTTGTTAAGTGAATTTTGTTCCATTTTATGATCTTTCTTGCCACAGTTGTTAAGTGAATCACTGCAATTGTCAAGGTAGTAACACAGTTGTTAAGTGAATCTGGTTTTCCCATTGACTTTGCTTGTCAACGGTGATCACATGACTCTGAGACACTGCAACTGTCATAAATATGAATCAGTTGCCAAGCGTCTGAATTTTGATCGTGTGACAATGAAGCTGCTGCAATGGTCCTAAGTGTGAAAAATGGTCATAAGTCACTTTTTTCAGTGCCGTTGTAACTTTGAAGGGTCACTAAATGAACTGTTGTAAGTTGAGGACTACCTGTATTTCTTTCACCAGCCTCTGTAGTGTTCACTGTGAGCTCCTTGGAGCAAGAAGGTCAACTACAGAAAGAGGGGATCATGCATCAAGTTGGGCATTGCTCGCACTGAATGGGTTTAAGGAGAAAATGCTATGTTCTGAGGTAAGTTTAAATTCAAACTGTTCCGTGACTCCTATTAGGCCAAGAGGAAGGGCAGGATGTGACTCGGTCAGGAATGTCCCAAAGTCACACTGTGGAGCACAGTGTGGAACACAATCCATACTAGTGTGTTACTACCAGGAAGAGTGATTTTAGTCTCAGCATGCCTGCTCAGTATCTTAGGGAGATGCACATATTTTATTTAATTCTGACATTGCTCCAGTTATTTCCAAAAGCTTTCTTAGGGGTAACCCTTTGGATTACAAATTAGCATTCTCCTTTGGAGGCTCTGACTTCATTTTCATTTAGGAAACATATGAAATTGAATCCCCAAGCTATGGTGTGGGCTTCATTTGGAAGATCTTGATGGCTTGTTTTAGGATTGAGACTGGGACCTGGGCAAAGAATATGTATTTTTGTGTTTGTGTATATGTATCTATATAGTTCCAGAAAACATTGGTGAGTCATACACTACAATTAATTTCTTTTCAGAGAGGATTATGAAGATTAATTTCATTATTAAGAGATATAAAAGGAGATATCCTGAGTATAAGATTTTATGCTGCATTAATTCAAAGACACCGATTTCAGGTGGAATTGTTGGAACTCTTCAGACTGAAGGAATTCTATCCTAAGTTAAATCCTGACTAATAGGAACTACCCAAAGATTTGTGCAAGGAAAATTGTCTCTGGCTTTTACTCTCTCTGCTTTTAAAAAATTATCTTGATATTTGTCCTGCGAGTTGTGAATTCAGCATTTGGTTTTGATTTTTTTGCGTTCACACTCTTGAACAGAATGTTGCACATTGGGAAAAGTGACCTGCCTCTCCACATGTCTCCTCTTCAAAGTGGGAAAAAGCAGCTTTGTTTTGGGAAAGTTGCCTTCCACAAGCCAATCATCAAGCAGAAAACTCTGCTGCTGAAATGACCAATTCATAGCCTCTAGGGTTAGTTTTCAAAACGTTACAGCCATTAGAATAATGTAGGAGACGAACTAAAAAAAAAAATAGGTAGTCTTTGTTTAGTGACCACAATTGGGACCAGCATCTTGGTCATTAAAAAAAGCAAGGTAAATTCATAGGTGAAACTGTGACTGTGCTCATGGTCATATTTCAGCATTCCTTTTCTTTTCAGAGCTGCAAAGGTTATAAATGCAAGCATTGCAGCTTCATCATTGCTGTACCTGCAAATGGTCGCTAAATAAGACAGTCACCAAATGAAGACTACCTGTATATGATTTCCATCTTTTTGAAGAACAGAAGTAACTTAATGAAAGCAAGAACTACATTGAGGAGACAGCGACTGCATGGGTCCTCCGAAACCTTGTTTTGGTATACTATGAGATCAAGACTGCCTTCTCCACTACCCTCCCCAACATTAGGAACAAAATAGGTTGCACAATTAAAGTATCTGGTCTCCCTCCCAGCCCCAGAAATAATGGCCGAGGAGGGTACAGAGCCCAGGAGTCCCTTAGGAGGAGTCTTATATCAATTGGAATCCAGCATGTTGCCCACCTTTGAAGGTTCCTTCTCCATGCATTCTAGAATGTTCACACAGTAGATCTTGTGTCATGTGGTGAGAGAAAACTCTCCTGCCATGCACCTTACCTTAGGTTAACGTCATGCTGGCTCAGCAGCAGACTGGCAACAAGAGACAGGCAATCTCATGAAGACATGCTCTTTACAAATATTTAGTGGGACATCTTCACGCAAGCAGGGCATGTGAATGAACCCCTCCCCCCAACACAGCTAGTTGACAGGAGTGATAGATAAAGTAGCTCTACCTAACAAACCAAAGTCAAAAGATTTGAGTCCTCTGGAGGAGGGCGGGTATCTTCTATGATAACAAATTCTATGATGCAAAGTAAATTGACTCTTGTTAGCAAACTGATTGGAAGAGGGCAAAGTAGTTATTGGGATGGATGGGTGAAACTTCCTCTGCTTTATGGTTGAATATTTATGTGCACAATGTTCTGTTTTTATATTCCTAATTCCCAGTGTGGGGTGCTGATTGTGCTGGAGATGACTGCACAGGGGCTATAATTTCTTGTTTTGTTTTGTTCTGATGGTGTACTGACTTACAACTCACATAGTCCTGTCCCATGAGATCATTTTTCCAATTGTTACTTTTAAAAATGCACATTTGTTTAAAAATGTTTTTTTCCTATGTATGCCCAGAAAATGTGGTGCCAGTTCATTCCCCTTTCTACAGTTGGTTCCTCAAGTTAATAGTGCAGTCTTGACAAAGCCCCTTTGTGTTCAGTGGGCTCACTTTCTAGGAAATGTACATTTCAGCTTCATTCCATTCAGAATTCTCTTAGCTATGAAATAAAGATTTCCTCAAGTTGAGTTTGAATCCTGTCAACTCTTAACAACTATGCAGAAATTATTTACTAATAGGTTCCTCTGGAACATTTTTCTTATTTTCCAGTCATGCTTATGGTTAGAAATTTCCTTAGAGTCTAATGTACTAATGTGGTCTGACACAACTCTACTTTTGGGAATCAGCTAAAGTTGTTTGGGTTTAACTTACACATATTCAGCATTCTTCTTCCTCCCTTTCCATCCTCCCCCCATCGTATTCAGAAAGTACCATTATAATACTGAGTGAAATTGGACTCACAAGATGGAAAAACTAGAAATCAATGAAACTAGAAGTAAAACACATAAGTGAAGAATAAGTGGAATCTACTCAGTAGAAAAAAGAGCAAAACCAATTTGATGACGTATTGTAAATACTTTGGATAGCTAGGAAAAGTCAATCAGCCAAGCATTATGTGGTGACTCAGCTGTTCCATAAGATAACTTCATTTTTTTAAAGGCATCTAATTCATGCTTACAGTTTCTAGATTAAATGTATACATGCATATATGTAACTTTCTAAGCTTCTTAAGAGTATATTAATTGCAGATGCTCTTGTTTGATATTTATTTAGCAGTAATTGTCCTGGCTCATCATGCATCATGCTAAGCTATAATGTAATTTGATGTGGTTTTGGCTTTCCATGTATGTGAACCCAAACCAGTGTCGCTTATAAACTAAGGTTAGTTTACCAGGTTGCATAACACCAGTTAACAGGCAATTTATTCAGTAGCAAACCATACAAACTATAGTATGGCAGGAAGGTTTCAGTATTCAGCCTTCATTCATACTTTGGAATTGGAGAGAAGAATACCAGATTATCACTGCTGCCCTAAAATCAGCCTGTCAATTTGGTGCCCTGTTATATTCCACAAATGCTTCACCTGGACTGTACTAGGTAGAAGACTTTCATAAGACTTTGGTAAGTCCATGCACAGAAAGAACTCAGATCACTGCCTAAGTGTAACTTGCCTGCACAAGTTAAAGAGATGTTGCACTGAGAAAAATGGGATAAGTCTGGGTATACTAGCCTGAAATATTTGAGACCATAAAATAAGATTGAGACATAGATGCACTGATTCCTTATTGTTCAGTAACTTGCAGCTAAACCTATTAAGTTCTACCCTTCCTGAATCTGAGGTGAGAAATTCTACCATATCCAACTGGTAACTATATTTGTAGATTTTCATAATTTTAGCATAAAATACGGAAATGCAAAAAAAATTCAGTTGTGGTATAATGCTTAATGTGTAATAGGACTGGTGAGCTCTAGATTCAAGTCCATCCAGGGCTATGGATCTCAAAAATCAGAAGAGGTAGTGCTTTGTCCTGGAGGAAGGGCATCAGAGCTGAAGAAGCTTTTTGGATGAGAAGCTAAACCTCTTCAAAAAAAAAACCCCAAGAAAGTCCAGTTGCCTCATGGGATAACTATGACCTGGATGACTGAGAATCTCCATAGACGTGGAGGAAGGGCAGTTTGTAAATCTACTACCTAAATAAAAGCCCTCACCCTCTAATCCGAAGAATAGGATACTGTGGATCACTTGGGCTGTTAATAGTGTCTCCTAAAAGACACACAATCTCTCTTAGTACAACTGAAATCAAGACTAATTGCGAAAGCTCAATTGATGGAGAAGTTCTGCACATGGTCAGTGGGAAGTGGTGTTTTTGGTCTGTCTTAATAGAGATGTGCCCAAGGTGTGTGTGTTAATGTGTAGTCTTTCATTGTGTAGTCATCTTTCCAAAGGGTGGAAACCTCACTGTCTTATGCTTCCCTCAATTCCCAAAGGAAGATAATCTAAGTAAACGCCTCTCATTAAGTTTGTTCAGTTTGGAAACTTTTTCAGAGACCTCCACTACTTGCAATACTTAATAAAGTAAGCTCAAAAACTTCATTGAGAGCAGTGTGGTGTAGTGGTCAAAACATCAGGCTAGATGGTGAGTTCTAGTCCTACCTTAGGCACCAAGCCAGCTGGATGATTTTTCAGCAGGCAAACTGCTTCCAAAAAATCTTGCCAAGAAAACTGCAAGGATTAGTACAGACCAGGGGTAGGCAACCTTGGCTCTTTTATGACTCGTGGACTTCAACTCCCAGAATTCCTGAGCCAGCATGGCTCAGCCTAGAAACCTTTCCCATTCCCCTCAGCATGGCTGGCTCAGGAATTCTGGGAGTTGAAGTCCACAAGTCATAAAAGAGGCAAGGTTGCCTACCCCTGGTACAGACAATCTCCAGGAATGAACACTGACTCAAAGACACAATCATCACCGCCACCACTGCCATCATCATCTCAAAATAAAATTTAAACATATTGACAATATAAAGAAAAGGCTGTTTCACAAAAGAAAAAAACTTTCGAAAAGCCCGATTTCAATACATGTAAAGTTGCTTAATTTAATTCTGGCCCTAGGCTCTTTTGGATAACCTAAAAGATAAGAAATAATATCTTTTTAATTAACCAAAAAAATGGTAACAAAATGTATTTTCCATGTGCTTGATTCTAGATCCTAATTTTTTTGGGTGTATGTGTAGAAAATAGGGTTTTTTTTTTTACTCTTAAAACAAGTATGTAAAATTGAATCCTCTGAACGTGCAGGATCTATAACATAGAATAGAATTTGGGTTTTTTTGTGATTTTTTTTTCC